TGTAAATATTGGTAAGTTTGTAGATTTTATTAGTTCACTTGATTTTTGCTTATATTTGTGCAAGACAGATAAAAGGGATCACTAACTGTCTTGCCTTCTTTTTATATGATTTGTAGCCATCCAAGAATCAAATTGAAATAAATCTTCCGGGAATTATGATGGCATCATGGAAAATCAGATCAACGGATTTGTTCAAAGACATAATAAAAGCCTTGATCACTAACCATATGGGATCATGCCCCTTGGATTAACAAAGGGGTCTTTTTGTATTATTATTATTATATGAGTATCTGCAAGAAAGTTCGAGAATATTACGCGTCTACAAGATGTTATGGTTAGTTTTTTTCTTATGTCACACAGCAATCATCTCAGCAATAATTTCCCAAATATTATACTGCGCATTTATTGGGATGCCAATACAAATCCCTCAATTCCCACAACCATACTATGCAGAATATTATCATGTAAATATATTGTGCTTAATGCACTTTTGCTTTATTGATTGAAATAAAAAGTACATATCGGATCTTAGATCGGGATACAGCTTCGCTTGATACAATGTTACATTATAATGTCTTATTGCGTCTATTCTATCCACCTCCCGATACTTACTATTTTCATTGTACCATTCACCCTAACTTAATAGTCCGTTTCATTTGTTTGCATTCGTGAATAGTAACGAGATCTAGTTCCAATGACAAAAAAAAAGTGCTAAATCTCATGTCGCACAGTTCTACCCTTGATCGCAAAAAGTCCCTAATCTGATAGTTTTTAACCAAGCTGTATAGCATTTTTCTGATATCATACTGCGCATTTCAGATGATCGGTCTCACATGACGGAGTTTCTTGCTACGATCGCGAATTTGAATTTATTGCTTGAAGTGAAGCAAGTAATACCATTCGCCATGTAATCCATAATTCCCATGTTTTCCATCACAAATAGGACATGGTGAGTTCCACGGCTGAGCAGACACAAAATTAATCCAGATCTAATTATCAAAACCGTGTTAGAGCATTTCACATACCTGAAATTCCGAAATAGTTTTAGGGGAATTGATAATTATAATTTTGCATCACTTCAGCCGTGAAGCTCACCATGCCCTATTTGTGATGGAAACATGGGAATTATGGATTACATGTCGAATGGTATAGAAATGGGACGGAATATTGTCTTACCTGCAACAGTTTTTAAAGTTCGCGATTGTGGCATAGTCTGGTCATGTGAGATCAATGCGCAGAAGATATTCGGTAAAATTTCTTGCCGAGGAATATGGACTGTGCGATGTTGCGAATCGCGTATATATATTCATTTTTTTTCTTTCTACCAAGTAATTCTCGATTTTTTTTTTTATTCTCGCTTCGTCGTCGCCGGATCAGGTTAGGAAAGTGAAATATTTATTAAATGTATATTGTGATATTATGAACTTCCAGCAATATCCTACGCACGATTGTGCACCACCGTGAGTTCGTTATGCTCACGACCCCTTTCGGTCGATGTTTGGCAGCAATAGTCAGGATACCTGCCTTGATGACACGTATTTTTCCTATGTCTAAATTGTCACCTACTCCATGGCGATTGTTGACCAGATATTGCGATTTAGCAACCTACGCACCGATTGTGCACCACCGTGAGTTCGTTATGCTCGCGACCCCTTTCGGCCGATGTTTGGCAGCAATAGTCAGGATACCTGCCTTGATGACACGTATTTTGTTCTTGTGTCTACATTGTCACCTACTCCATGGCGTTTGCTGACCAGTTGCTATTGAAACAAAGTTCCTAGTTATATATTATTGGACACGTTAAACGCAGGCTGGTTATTAAGCTGATTATCCTTCAATGTTATTTACTTATTTCTAGATCAACAAATGGATTTATACCGACAAATCAACAACTACTTTGATATTGTTAAATACTCCGAATGGAGTATCCTTGATTGCTTGTATTCGATACAGAACCCTATGTTCACGTCTGACAGCGCGGACGAAGTCGCGACCATTATAAAAGATATAATTAGAACACGTCGTATATCAAATTCATTATTAGCGAGTGCAAGACGTAAACTAGAACATCTCGAGTCCAAATTTGAGTCCATTTGGACGAATTCCGAAGTCCGACAGTACTTCAATAAATTGGATCTTTCTCATACAAATGTAAGAGTTAAAAGCATTCGTCGCCCTGGGTTAATAGTCTGACTTATAGCCATAAAAATCAGGAAATGTATGAAACACGGGCGATGACAAATATCGTCAAAGATAAAACTGTATTAAATGATGTTCATACTCAAGACTTAGCCAACGTAAGTTTATTTCGGTGCACATACTGTAACTGATTACCGAATGCTTATTATTTTACTTACCAATTTTTGAAAGTCGTATGCTGGAAATAGCAATAAACGGCAACACCCTGAAAATACACATACTATGAACCCAAAACAAAGGAGAATTGCTGATAACGATACTGGTGACAAATCAGAGACAGATCCGAATGATGAGGTGGATTTTGATTACAACAAAGTATCCAGTATGGATTCAAACATCGATAGCGATGCCGATGATCATAAGGTATTCCGGGATTATGACGAGTACTGCGAAGAAGAAATCTCAATAGAAAAGGTTTGTATATTAATATCTATGTTATTATCTCTTTTTGTGTTTACCTAATATTCATCCTTTCTCTTAATTTAGACCTTGACTGATCCCATTAAAAGTTGGATTTTGTCGAGTGGGAGAGATGTTAGTGTAATATTGTCTAAATACCGTGAAAAAATTCCTCGCACAAAGGCATACCTCTAGTAAGTTACACTTGATTTGTAAGCGTAAACATATTTTCCAGTGCCTGCTTCCTAACTTTTAATATTTTTATTTATAGTCCGGCTTATTTTGGAATATTGGATCTTTCTGGAGAGGATATCGAAGTAAAAAATTTGTTTATAGATGACGAATGGAATGAGATGATTAAAGATTTTAAATGTAATGTAAATTTGAGTGATTTGGAACCTGAACAAGATGAACCGCTTTATAAATTAATGGACAAAATTATTGAGGTAATGAATTTGTAGTATTATCTTTTATTTAGTATATAAACTCATTCTCTGTTCTTATTCTAGGTATTGGCAAAGAATCCTCATGACCTAATTACCGGCATTGAAAGCTGTGTAATTGAAGTACGTATATCACTGTATTGATTTCTTATGAAAGCGCCAAGTCTAATGATTGTCATTTATAGGAGAATATAAAAGCAAACGCCATTAGACGACTTATTCAGACTTAATAAGTTTTTGCCTATTCTATTATGGCTTTTTGATGGTTATAACATTTAACAATTTTAAAATTAAATAGTGCATACAATCTTCAACGTTTACAATTGCCAATGTCTGAAGTCGCATTTGGAAGCAATTTCACGAACATGGTCACAAAAGGGATATTGACCTTTGGCCAAACCTATAATTATGAAGAGTAAGTTTTTTATTGGATATTCTTTGTTTATACATTTGCTAATTCGAATTAATTTATTATGCACAGAGGTGAGATTCAAAGTCTTGCTACGTCCGTAATTTCCAACCTCAAAACAAAGCCCGCAGAAAGAAGCTTAATCGGTCAAAAAGTTGATTTCAGGATTAGTAAAGACCAATTTGAGATGTTAATTGGTTTAAGATCTGGGGGTCTTCCTACAGCAACAAAAGGGAAAAAATGGATGGATAAAGTTGACTTAGCTGTTTCATTGCGGGATGTGTTGGCCAATGAAGGTATGGAAAACAATGGTGTAGAACCAAGCAGGTTCAAAAAACTTTGTTCTTGGAGTACACTCTTACAGTAAGTTCAATCACTTTGATTATTTTTTCCGCTAAATTCTTGATATATGACTGATCTATTCAATTTAGATTATAATTATAATATATATGGACTGGACTGGAGGTGTAAAGGTGTTTGGCGTTTAGGTTTATTACAAAAGGTTAAACTACCTACATCAATTGATTATTTGCCAGCTATAGAGAGTTTATAATATCTTTGCTACCTGTGGAGGTAGAGTATCTCATTCACATTAATTATATATATATGGTTTGTTAATCTTTGATTATTTTTTTGATAGGAAACTTTACATCATATTCGAAAAACCCGTTATGAAATATTTATTGAAAAGTCAAGATTATATCGAAACCGACGAACATCATTACGTGCCATGGACTATTCTATTTGCGAACAAGATCGCATAACTCGTACAAGAAAAGCAAAGGAATAAATTTTTCCGTTATATAAAATATGATGTTATCATGTGAGGAAAGTAAAACCACGTGATAAAATTTCCGTCTCAAAAATAAAATTTTCGATCATATGTAACATCAATATCAATATAATGAAATAAATTCCAGAAATAAATATACATGCAGAAATAAACATGACTACCTTTCCATTTTATTCTTTCAATAACAAGTAATACCGTCAATAACCGAACTCAAATGTTCAATTTCTCTGCAATTTTACCACAAATCGCAAAATTCATGGACATTCAAAATCACTCCATTCCTAAAATCAATGCTTTGATAACACCGTCATTTCCTTCTTTAACTGTTTCAAAAGCTTTTAAAGCGTTTTGGAAGTTAAATCTATGAGTTATAAGAGGCTTCAAATTAATTAATCCAGCGCTAACTAATTGTATAGCCTTTTTGTAAGTATTACAATAACGAAAAGATCCCCTAATTTTAATCTCACGAACTATAATATCGACCATTGGAATTGGCGCAACATTCTTACCCATTCCAATTTGCACAAAAGTTCCTCCTGATTTAGTCATCTAAATCAAATAAAATTAAAAAAAGGTTTAAACGAAACCTTTAAACATATTTTTTTTGATATATTAATTGATACTTACATAAATACCAGTTTGAATAGAAGTTTCAGCTCCAGAACATTCTAATACAACATCAGCTTGTTCAACACCTGATTCCAATAATTTTTGTGAAAACATTTTAGAAAAATCGATTGAATTTAAACCTTGAGGAATAATACTTTCTGCTAATACGATTTCATTGGCTACATAGTTTTTTGCAAAATTTAACCTAGATTGATTTATATCAACCATTGTGACTTTAATGGCTCCCGATGCTTTCGCTACAGCTCCTGCTAATAATCCAACGGTTCCGGCACCAAATATCATTACTGTTTGACCTACTTTAAGTTCCGCTAATTTACATGCGTGAACTCCAACCGATAACGGTTCAATTAATGCAGCTTCTTCTAATGATGGAAAATTATCTGGTAATCTTACACAAAAATCTTCCGGACAATAATAATATTGGCAAAGTGAACCTTTTGATGATATACAAGGATAGAAAATAAAATATATGATGATTTATTATATAAATAACATTTGTTAACATATTATTAAAAGGTATGTACCATTAACTGGCGGAGTTGCAGCAAATTTCATATCTTTACACAAGTTATATTGGCCATGTTTACAAAAATGACAAGTATAACAAGGTACGCCAGGTTCAATTGCGACTTGATCACCAACTTTTAAAGTTTTACAGTCTCTTCCGACATTTGTCACAATGCCAGAGGATTCATGGCCTAAAACCATTGGTTCCCTTACTATAAAATCACCAATGTGACCATGAACCCAATAATGAACTATATTCAAAAGTAACGTGTATTAAATTAAATTAAATTAAAGGTACAAGAAGTTTTCAAAATTCATGAGATAAACCAAATTAAAATGGAGTCTAATACCGTCAGAACCGCAAATGCCGGTTGCTTTGATAGCTATTTCAACTTCATTAGATTTTGGTGCAGTTCGCAGACGATTTTCGAGCTGAATATCACCAACTTGTTGAAGAACCCATGAAATATTTGAATTATCTGGCAACATCTAAATGCCTAAAAAGAAAAACAACTCGTGAAGAGTTAAGGAATTAGGAAATTAGACGCTGAAAGTTTTAACCATACCTTTACGTAACACAAGATTGACGTGACAAAAAATTTTTCTAAGCCACCAAAATCTACAAATATACTACGAATCTGATTATTTGATTCTCGTCCTGAAGGATGAATTATCAAATTTACAAGCTTTTGCGTGCAATACGTCAACGTTCATTTAAAAGACCAAGTATGTTGGCGCGTTTCGTTTATAGTACTTATTCTTACTCAATTCAGAAAAGGATAATTTATGTATACCTTATAGGTTTGGAAACGAGCATTCGCTCATTAAGTACCACTACAACTATACAACCCGAACCACGGTATTACGGCCAACCGACGGCGGATACTCATCCACATTTAATGAAGCCCGGTGAAAGTAAATTTTTTTTTTTTTTTAATTATTTAACTTAATATCGGTAAATTCCTCTTAATATTTACAAGGGTTTCTTCTTAAATTGAAAGTAACACCCGGGATATCAGCCATCGAGTATGAGTTAAGAAGAACAAGGTTAATGAAAAAGCTTCCGGAAAATAGCGTTGCCATATCGTTGGGATATCGAACAAGATACATGTCAAACAAAGTATTGTTAGTATATTATAGTATTATTGTAAACTTCAAGAGAATATCTTGTAATGAATTTATATTTAAATTTACAGATTTCAATCATAGAGTTTTTTTAATTTTAAGCAGATCAAAGCATAACCTTTTTTATACTCATAATCACATTGTTTGTTACTCTTTTGTATCTTAGTTATCCATTCCATCAGAACACAGACTTCTTTTATTTATGTGGTACGAAAGCATATGGGTTATGCCTTGTTTGAATTATTATATAAAAATTTAATAATAAATTTACATTCCTTTTTAGGTTTTAATGAACCAGACGCGGCTATGGTCTTAGGTACTTAGTTTTTTTTTTTTTTTTTTGGAAAGCATATCTTACTTTCTATGATTTTAAAGATTTCTTTTATTCTTGCGCGAAATGTAAGAAAAGAATAATAGTCAAAGGGGTTATAAAATGACAATGTTTGTACCGCCAAAAAATCGAAGTATAGAAATCTGGGATGGTCCTAGAACAGGTCTGTTAGGTGCCGTATATATATTTGGTGCAGACGAGGTATGATGAACCATATTGAATTATCATTATAATTATGTACTTCAATTAATATATGATAAATTGTCGCGTTATTTTTTCCACAATGATAGGCTATGGAATCGTCTAGATTTAATTCAAAAATAAAAGAAATCGCAAAGAATTACAAAGACGTGTACATTGACCTCCCTCCACGAACAAATATTCTTTCAAGTGATAGTATTTCGAAAAGTATTAGCCGAACTCACGGTATTCCTTCATTTCATACACTTTCTTGTGGTTTTAAATGTATTCGAGATTATTAACCCGCCCTCATCGTCGACTATTTTTGGTTTTCAAGTAAAACCATTGAGTCGTATAGTTCAAGAATTGAGAATTGTTAAGAGCGATGCTGAAATTGCATTAATGAAGAAAGCTGGACAGATAACCGGCAAAGCATTCATAGAGGTATATGATCTTTGATAATTTTTTTTTTTATTATTCAAATATAAATATTGTATTTGTTTAATTTATAATGTAATTTGATCATAGGCAATGAAGTTTACAAAGCCTGGTTTGTCTGAACATGACTTATCCGCAAAAATAGAGTTTGAATGTCGGATTCGTGGAGCGCAGTACCTTGCATATGTACCGGTAGTTGCTGGAGGTATTAATGCCTTAACGATGCATTATGTAAGAAATGATATGCCATTGCGGTATGTCACTTGTAATTTTCTTTTTTTAAAAAAATAAATAAATAAATAAAATAAAAAAAATAAACTGCATTTATGGGTATTCATACTCATTTTTTTTTATATATCCATAATATAGTAACGGTGATTTGGTATTAATGGACGCGGGTGGAGTAAGTATTTTCACATCGTGAAGAATGAATTATAGATATAGTTATATATCTCTAGCTTTTTTTAATAATTGTTAATAGGAATATCATGGATATGCTAGTGATGTTACGCGAACTTGGCCAATAAATGGTAAATTTTCGCCACCTCAACGCGAACTTTATGAGGCCGTGCTGAATGTCAATAGAAAATGTATAAAGGTATAATATATACCTTTAAAGTTGTGCTATCCTATTATTATATATGCATTAAAAAAATTTTTTTTTCCTAAATGTAAAATAGCTTTGCACCGAAAAGCAAACCATTTCATTAAATGGTGTACACGAACAATCTGTTCAATTCATGAAAGAGGAATTATCAAATCTTGGATTCCATCTTGTAGAAGGGGTATATATACACTAATCAAAGGTTTCTCTTGATTTATTTATTTTTATTTATAAAAAAACATTTATTCTTATGATTTAGGACGTGGATCGAGTGTTATATCCTCACCATGTCGGACATTATCTTGGATTAGATGTTCACGATACGCATGACTTGGATCGTTCACGAACATTAAAAAATGGAATGGTGTTAACTATAGGTAAATGACACATTTTATTTGGGGGGGTTTTTTTTTTCTTTTGAATTTTTTTTTTTAGTTCTAATTTTCCAATATCCTTAGAACCTGGAATTTATATTCCCCCTAATAATGCTTACCCAAAGCAATATCATAGTATGGGAGTTCGTATAGAGGATGATGTGTTAGTTGGTGAAACAGATCCATATGTATTAAGCTCAACAGCGCCAAAAGAAATTGATGATATTGAATATTGTATGGAAAACTAATCTAATTAGAATGAAGTCATTAAAACATACCATAACAGTAATTTATAGATTGCATACGTTAAACAAAAAAAATTATATTTAATACGGATTATCATATTTCTGGGTTAATGATACATTTCCTAATGCCTACAATTACAATTTGATTTAATAAAAGATAATGATCATATGATATTTGAACGATTAGATAATACTGATGTAACTATATCAAGATAAGAAATATAACAAATTATTAAGTAAATGAAATGAAGAAAATACGATAACTTATCTAATTTAAGAAAAGGTAGCCTAAACATACGTGACGATATGTTTATATAGAAGACGAATTTTTAAAAGAAAATGAATTCGGGTAATAAGCTCAGTATTCTCAGCAACTTCTTTTGCAGACTTTTCTAATTCTGCGATTCTGACTCATTTAATTAAATTAAAAAATAATATAAATAATTCAGATTTTCGTTTTCGCCTCAAATAATCATAGTAGCATTTATCATTTATTTTCCGACAATCGTTCGGTATTCGTCGAATGATTGCCTTTGAAATTTTCATTTAAAAACAATCTTTTATTTAAAATAGCTAAGACAATATTATATGATAATAAAATTATATGAAATTACTTGTTTATGCATTTTATGCTAAAAGAAATCAGTTATTTTTACAATAAAACTTATATTATTATATAAGTCTATGCAAATTATATAAATTTTAATAAATTATATTAAAATAAAACTTATATAACTTTATAAAATATATTCTTATAAGCTTAAATAAACTTATTTTTAAATTATTTTTAAATTATTTTTAAAAATTAAAAATTTAAAAAAATATATAATTATCTTCACTTTTATATTTTGTTAGATTATTTTATTATTTTTGTTTCCATTTGATTTTTATATAATATTGATAATAAAATTATATTATAAGCAGGTTATTATAAAAATCAGATTTTACTAAATATCTTCAAAAACTAATATATAATAAAAATTAAAGTTTATTAAAATTTCAAAAATCTGATTTTCTAACAATTTTTTCATATGGTTTATTATCTTATATTAATTGTATTGATAATATTCCTATATAATTATAATTATAATTATGATTATAATAAAATATTTAAAAAAAAAAAAAAACACTTTTTCTTACTATTTGATAGTATTTTTTAAGAAAAAGATTATGTATTAATTCACTTAACTATAAAGTTAAAGATTTCAGTTTTTTTTTTATAAAACAGAATATCTATATAATATAATTAATCATATTATTCTAAATTTATAATTAAAAAATATTTTATAAAATATTATAATTTATTATTTTTTTTTTTTTTGATATATAAATTAAATATATTAGAAATTTTATAATAATTCCGAAACATATTAAATAATTTGATTTATTAATATTATAATAATTTAATAATTATTATTAATATTAATATAATATATTATTATTATTTTTTTTTAATATTAATAAAAAATTTTTCTAATATTATACATATTTTTTATTTAATTATTATCAATATTTCTATTATTTAATTTCCCAATTCCAAATTTTTAAATAAAGCGATTTTCCCTTTCCAAGCTAAGCATTCTCTCTCTAATTTCATTAAACCTTCCATAACTTCTTCTAATTTTGGATCATGTGATTTTACAATAATTTCATCCAATATGGAAGCATATTTATCCTTATATTTACTACATTTTTTATAAAGATTTAAAAGAATTAATAAAAAGTAATGTAAAATAAAAATAAAATAAATCAAATAAACAAATACCAAATTTTTGAACATTTAGCCGATCCTAATAAGCCACCATTTTTTTTTTGTGATGGTAAAGAGGAATGATATTGTAATCCATAAACCGAACTAATAACGTTTGATCCTTCTACATGAAATTGAATCACTAATTCTTCAGGTATTGCTGTACCAAACATCTAAGGATAGCAAAACCTTAATATATAGTTAAAGAGAGAGAAACTTTAAAAAATTTTAATTACCTGAGGATCACAAATTTTATAAGGAAATAATTTTTCTTCATGAGCACAAACTAAAACTGATCGACTACTTAAAATGTAAATGAGGACAGAATCTAACAACTTAAGTAATGTCAGTGAAAAAGAATTTTATTAATAAGATAAAATTGAATCAACTTCCTTAACCTACCTCACGAGCACTTTCTTTTGTAAGATCTTTATTCGTATGTTCCAACGAATCTAAAGCCAGAGTAAGATAATTCTGTGCATCGACCAACTTTTAATTATTTGAACAAGAGAAAATGTGAATATTGTATTAAAATTTGAAAATATATCACTTTGATAAATGAATACGAATAAACTTTCTATTTAAGGTTACTTGTTCAATAAAATATGGTTTTTTCGAATTAATGTTTAATTTAATCAAGTTGCCCCGATGGTAATTGGATAATTTTACTGATAATTCCTATAAAATTATAAAATTTAGGATTAAGAAATAAAAAATTTTAAAACAAATCCTAACCGAAATAGTAAAATAAAATACCCCTTTGATAATGTCGCTACCATCCAAAGTAATAAATCCTTTTAAAGAGTCACTACTAAAAAAAAAAAAAAAAAAATTAAAATCAATAACTAAGAATTGTATCATAAAAAAAACAAAAATCGTACTTATTTGACGATATTGCCAGAGTACTTGTGCCTAGCGAATCTATTGCATGTAAAAGATAGTAAACATTTATTATGATTATAATAATCAAATGGAAATAAAATCTTACCGTCATGTTCAGGCGATTTCATAATCGCTTCACATTTCTATATAATTAATTTTAATTTTAATAATCTTAAGATACAGACAACATCCAAAACACAAGTCGAGCTAATATATTACCTTTAACCCTTTCTTTATTTCATATAGTGCAGTTGGTAATTGAGAAACCAGCAACCAATCCAATTCTTTCGCCTAAATCAAATTACGTTAATAGGGTAATATAAACAAGCAAATGTAAAAAAAATATTAAAGAAAAAGTACCAAAGTTTCTTGTTCTTTAGTTCGCGTGTCTTCTTCTACCTGATTCATTTTCTTAAAAAGCAATGTGGCCACATTATTCAGATTTAAAAATTAAAATACGCCATTTTTGTGAAACATGATATGCGATTAAAATTCGTTCACGTGTGTTTCAAATCAATATTTTATTTCTCGTTTCAATGTATACATAATAATAAGACAAATAAATAAAAATATAAATATTCCGCGCATTCAAACTTCCCTTTCTTATTTTAATATTAAAACGCGATTCCAAATGCTTTGATTCATCCCATAAATTCATTACTTGCAGCGTTCTAATATGAAGAAAAAGAATCACCAATAACGAAGATAAGTGCCATATAACAAAAATTTATCATCCCAAATTCTACATTTCAAGGATCTTCTCGTTTCTTTCATAGTTTTGAAACCTTTGATAACATTCACAGATAACAAGTGATATAGATTAATCTGATCTCTCAAAATAACAAACCTTTATTGAAGAAATCGCGAATTATGCCTGCAGATAAATTTTCTTAATCACATTTATCCATTATCATTTAATTTTGGAGCCTCTATTATTATCAAACATATTTAGTTTCAAAACAACCGTAAACGAATAAACAATAAAAGCAAAACACTGAGAACAAAAAAAAGTAAAAATAACAAAAAAATGAAATTTCGATCAACACAGTTTTTATTGACAAACCGTGACGGTTAATAAAATAAGTCGAGAGACAGGAGAGAAGGAATCAATCCAATCTATCGTTTTCATGAACTTACAACATGGCATTATTCCGATCGTTTTTACCAAAAAATTTCGTTCGTCTTTGGCTAGACGTCCTTTTAATACTTGGTATAAATAAGTTATATTACAAAATATGAACTAACAAAAATTATGAAATGCATTTTAATTATTTGTTTATTTTACTTGGCTGTCGCCGGCTGGGCGGTTGATACTTGAGCGAGCGGAGGTTTTCTCAATTCGGCAAAGAAATCATTGCCGTTCGCCATTAAATTTCCTATATTGAAGGAAATTTTAGTATTAATATAATATGTTAATTATGATTACATTTAATATATATATGTGTGAATTATAAAACCTTTGATCCCCCAGACAGGTCCACTTCTAGCTACCCATGCCTTTTCAGTGGATTTATACATCTCTGGTTTTTCTAATGAAAAAAACGTATGTTTTTAGTAGAATTAAATTATGAAATAAATGCTTTTTTTTTCTCTTTAATTCATATTTACCAACTTCGGGAAGATTAATATCATGATATCGATCCAATGTTTCTTTCCAGGCTAAAAAGAAATTTAAATCAAATTATTGCTTTATGAATTTGAATAGTTCAATTATTTTTATACTTACTATTATTCAAATAATTTGAAATTTCCTGAGAGTTAAAATGATTAACAGGAACGTGTTCTGGGGCTGGTTTCAAACTAGGTAAAGCTGGTCCAGGACCAGCAAATGACGTATTGGAAGAGGTTGAAGTTGGGGTTGTTGGTGGAGGAGTAACTGAAACTGAAGCTGGTGGTAGAGTATTATTGTGAAAGTCTTTATTTTTACCCGCTATTTTGTTTTGGAATTTTAAAGTTTATTCAATAAATAAATAAATAAACAGGGAATAAGAAAAACGGAGCTTCCCCTTACCGAAAGAATTTTTTCGCTTGGAATTAGCATTGTAATCTTGTCTGTTTGGTTGTTTTTTGAAGCTATAAAATAATATAATTTGGCAATAGATCAATAATCGCGAATAAACTGACAAAACTGATCAAAAGTAAGATCACACACTGCTGTCTGTTATCATCTTGAGCACCAGCCATAATCTTAAAAGGTTATGGGTAAGAGTTTGTAATAAAGTAAAGAAAAGGTGAAAAAAAGAAAAAATGGAATAAGGAAAGAAATGTGAATAAGTGAGTGAATGTATTAAGATAAACGTCGTAAATGTGTAAGAAAACATAACTATCATGTAAGCTCGGGTCACGTGACTAACAATCCTACTCAATGTATAATTCTGGTTCTAAATCTCAGATACAAAATTGGTAAAAAAAACAATTAACAAAAAGGGGATAGAAACTTATAACCTAATTTGGTAAGTAAAAATTCTTAAATTATAAGGATTATCATAATATTAATTAAAAATAAAAATAATAAAGAAAAATAGTAATGTATATATATTTTAAATAATATCTATAATGATGCTGGTAAAATTTAATTTAAGTATAATTAAATTAGTTTAAATAGATTTAATTATAATTTTTACTAACATTTTAAATTGAAATGATAATAAATATTTATTTATATTTTGTTAGTAAATATTTTATAATTAATTTAAAATGATTTAATTAGTTTACTAATGATTATTACATGTAACATTATGGTGAGCGGTCAATTAATTAAATCAAAACTATGTATGGATCCACATAAAATTTAATATTCAAATTTTTTATATTGAAGTATATTTAAAATATAGTTCTATAATAAATTTCTTATTAAATCGATGCATTTTAAACTTCTATAACTTTAAACTCTTCCTGTTTTTTATATCTTTTTTATGTAAAAGCTCGTTTTTCAAAAAAAATCATTTATACTTCAAAAATAATAAAAGCATTATTTTAAATCATACTTTACTAAATAAAAATTTTTTTTATTGTTTTTTTTTAAAAAGCGAAGTGTCACATTATATTATAAGTTATTCTGTATTAATTTAACTTTTTATATTCTTTGAATACTAATTGAATGCAAAGTTATCAAATTTTTAAGATTTTGAATTTTTTAACAAGAATGCTTCCAATTTTAAAACGTGTTCGTCAGTTGAAAAGAGCATGTGAAATTTAAGCTCAAAATTAAAAGAAAAGAAAAATAATGATAAGATAAATCAAGTTAATAGGCAGCGAAATAAATTAATAGCTGCAGTTCAACAATTATCTGATAAAGAGGTTTCAGCAGCCAATCACCTTATTGCTACTATGCACTATCCAGAAGGCAGTTTAAATGCAGGAAAAATTCTATAATCATATCTTCAAGATAAAGCATCTGATACTATTGCTAATAATTTTTGTAAGTATTACCAAAAAAATGAATCTTTAAAAGATGAAATTAATTGATTAAAATTAGAAAATAAAGGCTTCATAATCAAATAAATAAGTTGATTGAAAGGACAAAATCATTTGAAGCTTAAGTAGAATATTTGCATAATCAAAAATTATAGCATATTTCAGAAATTTGCTTCCTAGTTCAAAAATCTTCAAAAATATCAGATGCTGTATTTAAAGATAAGATTCAATCTCTCTTTATGATCAATAAATGATAATATACTTTTAATGCAATTTGGCTTGCATTTAGTATTGCATAAATTGGAGAAATATTAATACATTTCACAATTGAATGTACAAAGTTAATTTATGAATTTTTAACTGGAGAACCTTTACAAAATTGACTATCAACTTCAACATTACATACATAATATAAAGATCTTTCTCAGTTATATATCAATAATCAAATTTCTTAAATTGTAAATGCACCAGTATTTGGAATTATGGTTGATGAATCTACTTATGGTAAGATTAAAAATTTTATTCTTTACTATCAAGTGTGAAGTAAAAAAGAACAAACTCTAATTGTTACTATGTCAAGTCTTAAAAATATTTCAAAATGCAATAGTGAGACAGTTTCTAATTTGATTATTCAATCAATTCAAGAGAATGGTCTTGATATTACTAAATGCATCTTATTGATTACTGATAATACAGCCTATATGTCAAGTAATAAAAATGGTGCTGTTTCTCTTTTTAATAAAAAAACTGATACAAGTGCCTTTCAAATTGGTTGCAGCCTTCATATTATGCAAATTGTTCTTAATCATTTTGAACAAGAAGCATTTGGTAAAATTACTACTAATTTTTCATGAAAATTGCATCCATATAATCATTTTTATCTGTCTTAACATTTACATGATAGCACAATTCTAACAACAAAGACAAATCTCTAAATATTAATGCATCAATAATTAAGGATTTATATGATAAATTAATGGGATTTTATTATAACCAATATCAGCTTCCACTTCATTCTCAATAGGACTATGAATTAAAAATAGCTAAACAATACTTAAATTAACATGAAACTCACATTTTATTTGCTTGTTAATTTATAATTCAATTGGAAAATTATCATAATACACCAATGGCATATTTAAATGATTGATGTCTTTTTAAATCATGGTTATCTAATCCACTAATTAACATTCAAATAAAATGCTTAGTAAATTTCGCTGCGCATTTTTATAAACTATTAGTACAATTTATAATAGGTAAGGATCTAATTTACGAATTATACAAAATGAAAATTGGTTCAATTACTTTCTGAAAGACGAGTACATGAAATTCTAGAGAAAGTTTTTGAATGAAAAGCTTTTCTTGAGTATCTTAAAAATAATATAGATATATTTTTCACTAATGAATTATTAGAAGCTATTGAAATATTGCCAAATGATGAATTTGAAGAATTTTTTAATAATTTGAAAAGTGGAATGAATAAAGCCTATGAATATTTTGAAAAATAGTTTAATTCATGATTTCATTTACCTTTAATAATTTGCCATCTAGGTAAAGATTTTGTATATTTATTTGCTAATAGTTTTCGTTTTATAATTTTAAAAAGAGACTGGAATAAAATGCTTACAATAGGAAATTAAGATTTGCAAAAGACCTAGAAAATGATATTAATTATAGAATTAATAATACTCTTAGTTTAAAAGAAATGGTATTAGATAATAATGAATTTGATAATAAATTTGAAGAATTTTGCAAGGCTGATAATCCTATACTATATAAATTTCCTTATTTCTACAATTTCGTTATAATACATATTTATTTTATTATTATTCATCAGTAATAAGTCAAAGGACTTTTTAATAAATTAGATTTAAAAACTCATGTGAATATATCATTATTTCTTAAACAATTAAAACTTCAATTAGTCTTAGGTAAGATTGAAAAAGAGGATTTATCTGCAGGTCTTAAAGAAATTCATATTTAAAGAAAAGAAAAACAAAAACAAATTCTGCTTCAAGATAAGCAATCACCATCATTTGGAGAAGAAATTGCATCACATCTTTTTAATTGTTATTAGATAATAAATAAATAATATATATATACACTACCTGAAAATAAGTTTGCGTAATCAGTTTTTTGAATTTTATTTGAAATTGTATATAATAAAATCAATTGATTTTAGTACCAATTGAAAGCTCTGATTCTTGTTTATATAACTGTTTGTTATTGTAATACATATAAAATAAAAATAATTATAAACATAAATAAATATAACGTAATGATAATCAATCTAACAATTTATTTCTAACAAAATGTGTAAAAATCCTGAACCTACCATTATTGAACGAACACAAATAATCAGACTATATAAAAGTGGCCATAGAAAGTCTGATATTGTTAGAATTATGAATCGATCAGAGTCCACAATTAGAACAATAATTCAATGATATAGAGATTCAGATAACATGTTAAGCAAAAAAAGAAGTGGTTAGCCTCTATTACTTGATGATAAAGATCGCAAAATTCTAAAAAAAATTGTTAAAAAAAATAATAAAGCTTCAGCTGATATAATACAAAAGAAATTTTCAGTAACAACTGGTTAAGATATTTATACCAAAACAATTCAGAAGAATTTGCATCAAATTGGATACAATTCTTATCGAGCTGCAAAAAAACCATTTTTAAATGAAAATCAACGTCAAAAACGGCTAGAATAATGCTTAGAAAAACAAAATTAGACAGTATAACAATGAAGAAATGTCATATGGAGTGATGAATCAAAGTTTACTCTTTTTTGTAATGATGGTCCTTTTTGAGTTTAGCATAAACTAGATACTCATTTTAATATTGAAAACTTGAATTCATTCATTAAACATGATGGTAGCAGAATCATAGTTTGAGGATATTTTTCAGGCAAAAGATTGGGTCCTTTAGTGAAAATAGAAGGAATAATCAATCAGCATGATTATATAAAAATCTTAGATGATAACCTGTTGCCATTTATTGATTCAAAGTTTCGTAACTGATTTTACAAATTTTAGTACGATAATGCACCTATTTACACAGCTAATGATGTTAAAGCATAGGTTGCTAAAAAAAAATTAAAATGTTAATTAACTGGCTTGCTCAATCTCTGGATTTGATTCCCATTAAGTATCTTTAGGATCATCTTGAACGTTTGTTGCATAATCGTTCAGATCTACCTAAAAAACTTGTAGATTTAGAAGTGCAACCAAAAGAAGAATAGAAAAAAATTTCGCAAGAAACTTACCTAAAATTAATTGATAGTATACCTCAAAGAATAGAAGCATGTGTTGCCAATAATAGTTGGTCAACTAGATATTAATATTTTGTTAAAAAAAATGATAATAAACTATTTTTTCAAAACTGCACAAATTTATTTGGGAATTGCTAAACATCGCCTGGGCAATTATCACCTGAGCGATTGTCGTCTAGGTGATCGTCACCTGGGTGATTATCGCCTAGGTTTTTTTGAATGTCACATGATGTATAATATATAAATATAACTATTATCTATTAACAATTATTATTATTAGAAATGCAGGACCATTTAGAAGCTGATTCTATAGCAGAAGCAAGACCAGTCGGAGGCTCTTCACCCAATCATATGGATTTAGTACTTACTGTTCCCACTCTTGGATGATGAAACCATTTAGGAATATAGCTGAGATCCATAAACTCTCACATGTAACTAAAAACACGTCACGATACTAATGTATCATGTATTACACAGTATTTAGCATACAACATACCCAAAATAAACAAACTTCTATCTTACTTAATCACTTTTTATAAATAGATCAAATGGATAATGTGTATAATAAGCGCCACCTTTTTGAGGTGTACTCTTCAGAAGAAGAGATAGATGATATTAATGAATTACAAGATAAATATGAATATGAAAGTGTGTCTAGCAAAGAAGAATATTCATTATTTAGTATTGAGGCTGGAGATGTGTTTGAAAGCTGGGATTTGGCTGAGAAACAAGTTCAAAGCTCTGCAAAAAATACTGGCTTTGAAGTGAAGAAATTTCAGCTTGAAAAAAACAAAGAAGGTGAGATTGTACGTCGAACCTTCAAGTGTAAGTTTTCAGGAGTATATCATGTATAGAAGAAAGCTGACATAGAAGATACCTGTGAGCGTAAAATTGCAAAATCGAATTATCCTTGAATAATTAACCTTCAGCTTACTGGTAGCCTTGTATATGTTATCTCATTATGCAACGAACATAACCACTTTTTTGTTAAAAAGGAAAATTTAGTATCAAATCGTCATCTTGGTCCAGAAATTCTTAAAGAGATTGAATTTCTCGTAAATATTGGCTGTAGAGCAGGTCCAATTATCCTCGCACTTCAAAAACATTTTCCTAAAATAGTAATACACCCAAAATATATATATAATGCAATTTGTCACATTCAGAATAGTCAGAATAAATCAAAAACAGATGCTGCCGAAACGTTTGAAAAATTAATGAAATTACAACGTGACGAACATGGATGGTTTATTAAAGCGAGGCTGGAAGGCGAAGACAACTATCTTACAGACCTGTTTTAGATGAGGCCATCGCAGATTGAACTCTAGCGCAGGTTTCACGATATTGCGATCAATGATAATACATCACAAACAAATAAATATCGAATGTACCTGTCTCTTACCATAATAGTAGATAATCATGTACGCTCGCGTATAGTTACAACTGCCATTGTATCAGAAGAAACTAAAGAAACCTATCAGTGGATTCTGAAATGTTTACTGTCTGCTACAGACAATCTTGCGCTAAACGTTTTATTCACTGATGCAGACCCCGCGATAGTTTTAGCTATTCATGAAACATTGCCATCAACAAAGTATAATTACTGTATCTGGCACCTTCGCAAAAACCTTGACAAAAATCTGAGAGGTCAGCTCCATAAAAATTACAATGAATTTGTAAAAGCGTGGAATAAATACCAGAATTTCTTCTTAGAAAATGAATTTCAAAAACAATGGCATAAACTTCTTACTAGTTATCCGACGGCAAAAAAATACCTAACTCGTACACTTGAACAAGTTGTAACTAGCTAGGCATTATGCCACACCAGTCGATCATTCAATGCGAGAATCCAGTCTACTCAATATGTTGAAGGTTATAATTCTCTAATTAAATAATCAGTCAAAAGTTCAGCAACATTGTTTGAATTGGATACACATATCCAATCACTTCTCAACAAAGAACAACAATTTGAACAGCATGAACAATCAAATCAAAATTCAACAGTTGGTTTACCAAACGTTGTCAGAAGATACTTCAAAAGAATAGATGCTATCATCAAAAAATTTCTTACTCCTCGTGTTTTAAAGATGCAGCACAATCAAATGAATGAGAGTTTACTTTATTGTGTAGATAAAGTAGAGAATTGGAAGGATTTGCTTGAAAATGAGGTATAAATTGTAACATTGGCATTTACTTGTAAATTACATAACATTCTTATTCTATTTCTACTTAGATTGTCGAACAAGATGAAGATGGTGAAGATGGCGAAGAACAACAATCTGATGATGAAGAACAATCTGACAATAAAGAACAATCCGATGATGAAGAATAAGGCGATAATAAAGAACAAGGTGATGATGAAGAACAATCCAATGATGAAGAACAATCTGATGAAGAATAAGGCGATGATGAAGAACAATCTGATGTAAAACAAGGCGATGATGAAGAACAATCTGAAAAGCTGAATTTTCCTAAAAATGACTATGAGTCATCAATATCCAACCTATATGCTCTGATTACATACCTTAATCATGCTAACATTCATGAGGTTTAGCGTGTAATAACAATTGAATAAAATAAAGAGCATTTCATGGTGATATATGATAATGCTAATCACTTGTGTACATGCATATGCTTGTAACAAGAGGATTAGTTTGTCGTCATTTCTTTTTAGTGATGTTTAATTCGGATAAGGCCATGTTTCATATAGGGCTCATTCCAGATCGATGGTATAATGAAAAGTTTTCTGATTTTCAAGAAGAACCTGCAATTACAATTTTTAGCGAAAAGAACACTGTTAAACCTATGTATAAACATCAAGTTAGGCCAGATTTTAGCCTATTACATGAGATTCATCATACACAAGCATTTTTGGAAACTATTAAGCAAAATTTATCTCATCAAGCCAAATATAATCAAGGTTTTGGCTACACAAAGAAAGCAATTAGACTAGCTCTTGAAATAGGCTGTGAAGACAAATTAAATAACATGTTGCAAAGGTGGATAAAAGAGAAGGAAAATGAAACTAATTTTAGGCAACTAGAGATTAACAAAGAAAATCTGCCGAATATTAGTGACCCTTATCAGACGCGTACAAAAGGTGCTCTAAAAAAACGTATAAAGAGAGCATTAAAAGGAAATCAAAAGCAAAAGTCAAGTGGAATTGCTAGTACTCATCGATCGCAGTATATATGCAGTCACTGTAAAGGTATTGGACACAACGCGCGTAGCTGCAGACTTAAAGAGAAATCTAAATTTAAATGATTTATAAACAATTAATTTAGAATAGCAAATTGTTATAATAAAGGATTTTGAAATAGAATTTGCATTTATGATTAACATGTAACTTCAGATTGTAATTAATGCATAACAGTTATTGAATAAATGCGTTATAAATTGGTTGGCTATATGAACAATGCTCAGACAAATTTATGATAAAAAGGGGGTGAATTTACCAGTGATTTTATTAGTATTTCGTAAATATGTATATTAGAGATCCTGTCTCTTATTTCTAAATAAACTGACTCAAAGCTAACTTCTGATTCTTAGCTAAATGTTATACCTTTTTATTTACTATTACTACAAATATGACAGCGGCACCAGCGGTACCATTGGCACCGGGGTTACTACTATGGCTGAATCTTCATCATGTGGGTGGCGTAAAACTAGGGATGGGAGCGACTCTATCGGTTAAGAAAACTTTTTATTTATCTAAAAAAAATTCGCGCGAATTTTTCTTGATTAATTTATTTATTTAGTTAGTTAGTCTGAAGCGTAGCAAAGGACTATTATGGTCTATGCTCAGTAACACAAAAAAAATTCTGTCTGCCCGTTCGACTGATTTCTCAAATCGTATTCCAATTGAGCTATTTCTAATAAAAGATCGACTAAATTTCGACTATATTCTTAAACGGTTTCATCATCCAAGAGTGGGGACAGTAAGTACTAAATCCATATGATTGGGCGAAGAGCCTCCGACTGGTCTTGCTTCTGCTATAAAATCAGCTTCCGAATGGTCCTGCATTTCTAATAATAATAATTGTTAATAGACAATAGTTATATTTATATATTATACATCATGTGACATTCAAAAAAAACCCAGGCGATGATCACCCAGGTGACGATCACCTAGGCGACAATCGCCCAGGCGACAATTGCCCGGGCGATGTTTAGCAATTCCCTTAATATATATATAAATTTTTTATTTAAATTTAACAAAAACTGATTCAAATATCTTTAATGTAAACTATAATTATTAGTTTTGCATTATTTTATTTAAAAATATAAAAATAATTAAAAAATTAAGAAATAAATAAATCAAAAAAAAAATATAAAATATTATTTTTTTTAAATAATTTGATTAAATTAAGTTAAATTAAAACAGATCAGGTCGGTCAGGTCAGGTCGGGTCAAATAAAAATTTAAATCAGGTCAAATTTTTATTTGACCCGACCCGACCCTCTCAGTTCAAGTAACTTAATTGACCTGACCTGAACCGACCTGTTCGGAGCTCTAATCGTGTCCTTCGTTTATTGAACGTGACGTTGTTCGAATCTAAATGCGTTGTTGTTTTTACTTCTCTTCTAAAGGTTTTATCTCAACAACTTGAGTTTCACAATATTGTTATTAACTATAAAATAAATTTAAGATAAAATATTTTTAATTTGGAAATGGTAAAATAATAATAATTTAATAATTAGTTACCTTAACACGAATTATATGCTAATTTTTCCCATATTAATTTCCTTGAGCCAACTGTCATCACAACAAATGCCGATGTGGCAAACTCACGATGATTTTGATGATCATCTTCTAAATTGAGCACATATTTAAGAAGTTGCTCACAGCCATCATTGAGAATATCCTCCATAGTTTTGCCTATTTCAAATCTTTCTGCATTTCCACACTTCAATTAACGAACATCACTTGCTGACATTGTTTCAACTTTGTCCGCCCTTTTTTCCATTACTTCCCAATCACTATTGTCACCTAATTCGATAATCAATTTAAAATAATGATAAACATAAGGAGCTTATGAAAAGATAGTTTACGGAGTATGAAACATACCTTTGATTTGCAAATCCAAAAAGTTGACACCTTTACACTTGAATTCAAAAATGAATTGACTCTCCTTTGCACCATCAGAAACCATTGGTTTATCATCCAACAGACGTTGCAAATAATCCAGACAAAGTTTGGTGCAATAAATTCCATTATCTTCCTTCGTATGACAAAAATTGTATCCATAGTAGTTGTCACTAATCTTCTTAAGATGAAATTCGATAAGCCTTTCCTTTCCTTTTTGAATAAAAGGTATTTAGGGTTGGTCCGGTCCAAAAAGACCGGTCTTTCATATTTCTTTGGACTGGACCGGTCCATAAGTCAGTCCAAGGACCGGTCTTGTACCATTCGGTCCTACCAGTCCGGTCAAATTGTTTTCTTACCAGACCGATTTATAAGATTGGTCCAAGGATCGGTTTAAACATATTAGAAAAATATACATATAAAATTATCAATTATTTAATAAAATAATTGTATAAATTTAATAAATAAAAAAGTATAATAATAAAATCATTGCATACGAAACGATTACTGTGCTTTATTAATCTCCATTTCCGATTTTTCATTTCGGGCAGTATCGTTACAGTAAAATATTAGGACATGTCTAAGGATTGACTTATGGGCAGTTCATTCCATAAGAAAGATGAAAACCGGGTCGATCCAACTCTAACTTTTTAATATTTTATAAATAAAATTAACATTAATATGCTATAAATAGTAAAGACCGGTCCTCAGAACATGAACCGAGGACCGCAAGGACCGGTCCCATTAACCGGTCTAAGACCGGTCTTTCCAGGACCGATCCATCCCTAAAGGTATTAGCCTCCCATTAAAAGTAATGTGCTCTTTTTTTTCAAAAATGGATCCAAGAGCCTCCTGAATATCCTTCTTTTCAAGTCCGCACAAACACCAAAAATCCCGATCGAGAGAAATGTCATGAGATATGTTAAATGATGTTAATTCATTTATTGAAAGCGGTGAAACACCTTTTAGTGATAAAATATTAAAGAATGATGTGTTAATGAGTGCATTTATTGTCATGTAAGAACCTTATTGACAAACTCACCTGTAATGAAAATACGCTCAATTTCTATGCCACGATGAGCTTTAAGTGTTGCAAAATGGCTTTATACAGACCCCGCCAAAAGTCTCCGAACGTCATCTTCCGGCTATTTCATACCGAATACATCATATGACTGTATAATACTGCGGTCATGTAATGTACCTGACCTCGCAAGAACATTAGGACAAATCTATTGTTCTCAATTCTTTCGATATACATGGTCTTGTCAGCATAGAAAGATTCAGTCTTCTCAATTCTTTAAAATCGGAGATGGAATCTACAGCAAAACCAAATTTTCGTTTCTTTGGCAAATCAAGAGAAAACTCTTCTACCTCTGCTCTCTTTTTGCTGGGACACTCCGGGCTAAAAAGATGAGATCATTAACGTAAGAAAAGGGACATTCGAATAAAGAGTAAACTAATGACAGTAATACTTTACCAGGTTGCTCTACATTTTCTTTATCTTCTTTCTTTTTGCCGCCGGAAATCTGTAATAGCTGTAGTAGTAACAAAGAGAGGGATGTGTGAGTAATATTAAGGAAGTACTTGGCTGATTCTCTCCTCTAGAATCAGCAGACCTTAATCAAAAAACCTTATAGTAAAAATGCCCGACGCGGCATTATTGTGACTGGACTTTCTTCCTCGCGTACGTGAACACGTAAAAATACTAACCTTACGTTTTACCATCAATAATTTCCGCTTTTCCTTTACGTTTCGTTTTATTTGTAAATTTTTGAATAAAATATTTAACTCTTTACCTAGAGCACAATGTGATGAGCGATTTGATTCATCATTAGTGGTTTCTTTGAAATATAAATCCCACGTATCTACTTCCCATTCTTTACACGGTCTCTTCCAGTAATCAATATATCGAAGGTTATTCAAACTTTCTTCTGATAACATTATTAAAAATAAGATAACAAACAGCAAAAAAGTAAAGAAAGTATAATAGGAAAATACGGATCTTAAATACAGACGCGAAAAACTAAGGTTTGATATCATTGGCTGACGATCCATCAGAATTTTAAAGCATGTGATTGGTTAAATAATGACGCGTTACATCTTTAATCGTGATACGTCAATCACGTGTAGATCACGATATACTGTCGGACCTCGATGTCGATGCAAAAATTACCCTTTCTTGACCCTGCTATATGTAATACAATATATGCAGGTCAAGATGAAAACACAATGTGGGTCAAGAAGGTAATATTTGCGACCTCAATGTACCGATGCTTCCAGTTTGGGAAAAAAAATATCGGTATGGTGTGAGACACCTATACTTTCATGGACGGACATTCACGTGATTGGCTGATCCTATTCAATTGCCGGGCACATTATTTATATAGTTTAGAGTACTTTTGAGATTGTAACGTTTCACATAAAAAAAAATAAAAAAATTTTTTCTCTAGCTTCGAAAGTGTGTTAACATTCACTGTGCAAAATAATCCCAAAAAAATCCAAAATCTAAAGGTACTTTACTTAGAGGCAAGTACTCTTAATGGAATCGTGTGTAATTACAATATGCCAAACCCAACAGTCAGTACGATGGAAAAAAGTAACTGAGTACGTTATTTTGAAAGGTCAAACTAACAAAACTTTACCAGGATATTTACAAATAGGTGATAAGATTTGCTTAAACTGTTATAACAGAATTGTGGTAAACTGCTCACTTGCATTCCAAAAACATGTTCTAGAATCTTCCTCTCCACCTCCAGTTCAACCTCCACCTCTACCTCCACCTCTGATTCAACTTCCACTACCACCACCACCCTTGGCTCTGCCATCACCACCACTTCCGCTTCAGGTGTCACCACCTCCATCTTCTATTTTATCCTTCTCTAAAGCAATAAAAATAATTACTAATATTTTATACTGTGAAAAGAAGGAAAAAAATCAGCAATATACTCATTTGATGAATTTTGTGTAGTTATGAAAGAGGGAGATGTAAGATTAAGTTCATTTTTTGACGAGTTATATCTTTCTTCTAACCTTTCTTCAAAAAATGAAAATTCACAAGCATAGGCGAAAAAGCAGCTCTTATATGTATGCTACTTTCTCTGCGAAATTTGTAGCAAGTTTGTTAATATCGCAAAGGAAGAATTGACGATGTACTTGGATTCTATCGGTGTTTCTAATGCCTCTATAGATACTCTTGCTGATCTAGGTATAACTACAACATTTCATATAATCACGCGGCATAAAACTACCATATCTAATGACCATGCTAAAACTGTTGATTTTACACTCATGGAACATGCAGAGAAGGCAATGATATTAAATATCAATGATTATTATAGTATCCATATGAAACAGATGCCAAACACAACTACAACTTCTATTGCAGCACACTTGGCAACAATTTTAATGAAACCAATCACTACACAGTATGTAATTCTAAATATGAATATATACAACCCTAGGTTAGTCAATGCAGAGTTGATAAAACTGAATTTAAATAATAGATTCATGACGCTTCTTGATCTTTCGCATAATCAACGCTGGGGATTCTGTTCAGTTAATAATAGTACTAAATTAGAAGAGCTAACTATACATAGTTATGACACTAGATTGAAAGAGAAATGGGATGCTCATTTGATGAAAGACGTAGTCTTCATAGATTTACAAGAAAATAATCTCCATTCTTTAAATACATATATCAAGGCCATTAATGCCATTGTAAATGTTCTATCTATGCAACAATATATTTAAAAGGAATATATTATACCTGTTATTGCTGATTGGCCTAGACAAATCTACCTTAGAATAGCCATCTCTTGTTTTATCTTATATCGTAATCAATCGAATATTACTAATTCTATTTTATTATTTCTTCCTATTATAGGTCTCTTGCATATCTCGTTAAATAGTTGAGAACTAATATTCCTTCAATATTGGCCTTTTTTTGGATATGTACAAGTATATTTTTGAAAAACGAAGTCCTCTTATATAAAAGCCCAAGCCATGGTGTATTAATCTTCTTTTAGAGATTTCTTGTAATGCTTAGCAGAAAATTTTGACAAGTGTTGATGCGAAATTTGGATTCTTATGCAAAGATGCTAAATATCTTGCATTGAAAGATTTGCTTAATAACCTAATTCCTCTGGTTTTAAACGTTTATGTGGTATTTTTCTGATCCAGCGATTTTGACGCTTATCTAAAATTATGCATTCGTATGTGAGTTGTATTTCTCAAATTCCGTCGCAAAAATTATATTAAGGCACCATTAATATTTCTTTCAAATATATTTTTCTGGGAGTTAAACGATCATCCTATTTTAAAAACTATTAAAGCCGAACTTCTAAAGTTTTCAGACTTGACTATTAAAATATTCTATAGCTTTCTACGTCAGAGCACACAGAAATACACTGAGGCACAGCAGATCATTAAATATGAATATTTTATTAATCGATTACGCCTGAACAATAACAGATTTAGAGAAAATATCACTCATACATTCACATAGGCTACTTATGAATATTCTGCTCGAGATATTACTTATTTAACAAAGAAAAGTGCATGTTTCCTTTTGCAATATTTTTCAGAAATCTATATATGCATATTTTACAATAATTTGCCATTAATAATTCTATTACAGGTGAATCCAAATATACCTTCGAAGAAGCGCTATAAAATTAATGAAATTTTCATTTCATTAACAGCAATGAAAATGCCGAAAGCACAATTGTGTCATTTTACTTTAGGGTTTAATACTTTACATAGACCAGATCCATTTCAATATTGCGATGCATCTAACTGTTCTATTTCTTTTAATACAGATCCTATTTAAATTTTGACTTGCGGTCACACTTATCACAAATCTTATTATACAAACAATAAATTCAAGTGTATGCATTGCCTCTCATTCTTACAAGACGGTATTGATGAACATGTTCAGTCTTTATTAAAATGCTTGCATCGCTTCGAAGAAGAATAGATCGTTTAAAAGGACAACTTTATTTAAAGAAGCATTTTAGTTACAATAAAATAAAAATTTTTTTTACAATTTTTTTTTTTACAAAAATTAAAGACTATTATATAAAATTAATAAATTAAACTAT